AGGTAAAGCACTCACTTTGCAGGCAGTCAACCTAGGCTTGATCCCCCGAGCACTGCCAGGAGCCAAGAGTCAGCCCTGAGCAGGGTCACGTGGGGCCAAACACAGAATAAACTGAGACACGCTTGGTCGCCACGGGGCACAGACGTCTCTCATCCCAGGGCTGTGTGATTCTCTCTCCTAGCTTGAGGCTGCTCCCGGATCTTCAGAAGGGAGAAAGGAAAAGTTTCCTTCTGGCCCACAACAGTAACAGTAACAATAGGAAAGGGGGCCCGTGTTGCCAGCTTCCAGGCAGAACACAAATCACTGGCTTGATTGGGGGGAGGGGGGAGAAAGAGAGAGGAGAGAGAAGGAGGAGGAGGAAGGAAGGAGGGAGGAGGAAGAGAAGGAAGGAGGGAAGAAGGGAAGGAAGGGAGGGAGAAAGGGAGGGAAGAAAGGAGAAAAGGAAGAGATGGGGCAGGGAGGGAGGGAAGGAAGGAAGGAAGGAGGGAAGCAAGAAGGAGAGGGAGAGAGGAAGGGAGGGAAGGAAGGAGGGAAGGAAGGAAGGAAGGAAGGAAGGAAGGAAGGAAGGAAGGAAGCGGAGGGAGGGAGGGAAGGGTTAGGGAAGGGAGGGAGGGAAGGAAGGAAGGAAAGGAGGGAGGGAGGGAAGGAAGGGAAGGAAGGAAGGACGGAGGGAGGGAAGGGAGGGAAGGGAGGGACGGAGGGAGGGATGGAGGGAAGGAAAGAAAGGAGGGAAGGGAGGGAGGGAAGGAAAGAAAGGAAGGAAAGGAGGGTGGAAGGAAGGAAGGAAGGAAGGAAGGAAGGGAGGGAGGAAGGAAGGGATGGAGGGAGGAATGGAAGGAGGGAAGGAAGGAAGGAAGGAAGGGGAAGAAGGAAGGAAAGGAGGGAAGGAAGGAAGGAAGGAAGGGGGAGGGAGGGAGGGAGGAAGGGAGGGTGGGGGGAAGGAAGGAAGGAAGGTAGGGAGGGAGGGGGAGGGAGAAAGGAAGGGAGGGAGGGAGGGAAGGAGGAGGGCTGGGGAGGGGGGAGGCCGGGCGGGCAGAGGAGCAGGCCAGTGCATTGCCCCAGCACCTGCCCCAGCAACCCTGTGGTTTCTGGCTTTCCCTGAGCCCAGCAGAGCCTGCAGAGAGCTGGGGGCGGGGGGGGGGGGGGGTTGGCCTCCAGAGCTATGGAAGCTGAGGTTCCTCGGGATTATTCCACCATTATAAAAGAAACCGAAGGAGTGGGGGGGAGACCAGGCAAAGGTGATTTGAAGTCCACACACACAGAGGCGTTGGTTCGAAGAACAATCATCTCTGGACATCTGTCCCCAGAAGCAGAGACGCCTCATCTGGGGATCTCCCCGCCCCCCGCCCCCCACACCACACGCCCCCTCCCCCACCCCCACCCCCCCGCCACCGACTCAGAACCAGGAGCAGATGACATGGGTGCTGGTGGCATCCCCCGCCAGGAAACCCGGACCTGGCAGGTGACAGATGGCAGTGACAGCGATCCAGGCACAGACACACCTTCCCCAGATGACGAAACCTCAGGGCTGGAAAAACAAGCCTCGTTCTCCAGTGAAAGATGAAAAAATAAAAATAATAAAATCCAACCACCTAATCTAAATACCCGGGACTTTTCTGCAGATAACACCACGTACCAGATTATCTGGATGAAAATAAAGCCAGTAAGAGAACATTTAAAAAATCCAGGGGCTGGAGGGATAGCACAGAGGGTAGGGCGTGTGCCTTGTATGCAGCCGACCCGGGTTCGATTCCCAGCATCCCATATGGTCCCCCGATTACCACCAGGAGCAATTCCCGAGTGCATGAGCCAGGAGTAACCCCTGTGCATCACCGGGTGTGACCCCCCCCAAAAAAAAAACCAAATAAAAATTCAGGGGCTGGAGCCATAGGGCAGCGGGGAGGACCTTACACGCAGCTGAGCCGGGTTCAATCCCCAGCATCCACAGGGTCCCCCGAGCACCACCGGGAGTGATCCCTGAGTGCAGAGCCAGGAGTCAGCCCTATGGAGTATCTCAGGGTGTGACCCCAAACTGCTCCCCCCCAAAAAAAATAAATTCACAGAGGTGAGACTGAGGAGACGAGACAAGAGGGGGGGGCGGTATTAACCGTGCACGTGGGTCACACCACTTCAACCCCCAACACTCCAGAGAGTGGCCTGAACCCCACCAGGAACTCTGACTCCTGAACACAGAGAAAGGAGTCAGCCCTGGGCACAGCCAGATGTAAGCCCCACCACCAAAAAAAAAAAAAAATCACAGAGAAACATCTGTTTGTTTGGGGGCTACACCCGGCGATGCTCAGGGATTCCTCCTGGCTCTCGTGCTCCTAGCAGGGCTCAGGGAGACCCTATGGGGATGCCGAGGATCGAACCCAGGTCCACGGCGTGCAAGGTAAACGCCCTCTCTGCTGGCCTCACGGAGGAACATCTTTAATGATGCCCTTTACACTCGAGCCCAGAGCTGCCTTGGAATTGAAAAAAAGGTTCAGGGGCTGGAGCGATAGCACAGCGGGGAGGGCGTTTTGCCTTGCACGTGGCTGACCGGGATTTGATTCCCCAGCATCCCATAGGGTCCCCTGAGCCAGGAGTCACCCCTGTCCAATGCCGGGTGTGACCCAAAAAGCAAAAAATAAAAATAAAAAAGGCTCACTGAGAGGCAGGAGCAAGAGGACAGCAGGGAGGGCACCTGCCCTGCACGCGGCCCACCCTGGCATCCCATAGGGTCCCCCGAGCACCACCTGGACCAAGCACCTGGGTGGGTAATCCCTGAGCACAGGACCAGGAGTCAACCCCAGGGAGAGAAACCCTCAGAGGCAAGTTTTTTTTCCCCCTTTTTGTCATGTTTGAGCCTCTGGGGAATCGGCTTCAACAAACTCCCACCCCACGCCCACCCCGCGCCGGGGCTCCGCCCTCCTCTGAATCAGAACCCAGGTTTGGGTCGGCGCTGGCCACCTGCCGCCCGCCCGTGCTCCCCTCTCGTCCACTGCGCGGAGGGCGGCCTTACGACAGTTGTGGAACAAGGTTTGGCAGCGGGGCAGTCAAGCACCCTCTGACCCAGAAATTTCACTGCTGCCTGGAGAAACAGGGGTTCAATGAGGAAACGCGAGCCCCGGGGAAGGCTTGGCCCTCTGTGGAAACGAAACCATTTGGGCCTGGGCGGCAAGCCGGGGAGGCCCAAGGGACCGGGTCGGGAGAGGTGAGACCCCACCCCGGGTGCACACCTGCCTTGCACGCCACGGACAGGGTCCCCTGAAGCACAGAGTCAGGAGTCAGCCCTGAGCACTGCCAAGTGTGGTCCAAACCACACACACACACACACACACACACACACACACACACACACACACACACACTATCACATGGTCTAGAGCAATAGTACCAATGAATGGGTGGGCACTTGTCTTGCTTGCAGCTGACCCAGGATCAATCCCCTGGCATCCCCTTAGGGTCCTCCCTGAGTGATCCCTGAGCGTAGAGCCAGGAAAAAAACCCTGAGACCGTTGGGTGTGGCCCTGAGACCAAAAACTATTATGTACATAAAATAAATCAATGTCCGTCAGTGGAGAAATTCTGAGTCGATTAAGACACCCCAGAATCGCTGGAAGAAAGGAGCCCCCGTAAACAGCACCTGACAACCCTTATCAAAGGGCAAGAATCGCTCTACATAGTTCCGTGTCCAAGTGACCAACCCTGCTCCCACAAATGCACAAGAAGCGAACCCTCTTTTTATCCACCACAAAATCCGCGCTCTTGCACCCTGACTGTCTCCGTTTACCAAGAGAACCATTCTAATTGTCCAGGCTCAAACCCAGCCCCCAACTTGGTTTTATAAATAAAGTTTTATTGAAACAAGACCCCCTCCCTCTGCGTTTTTTTCTTTTTTCTTTTTTTTATTTTAGGGTCCCATTCAGCGATGCTTCCAGCTGTGCTCAAGGGACCCTATGGGCTGCCGGCCATCGAACAAGGGGGGGCCATGAACAGGGCCAAGACCCTCCCTGCTGGAATATTACTCCAGCTCAAGATTGATCCCTTGTTTCTTCTGTTGATGGAAGAAATCTACCTTGGAAACCATCCATCCTGGGCTGGATAGATAGCACCATGGGTGTGCCTTGCACGCAGTCAACCCGGGTTCGATTCCCAGCATCCCATAAGTTCCCCTGAGCACCAGCAGGAGTAATTCCTGAGTGTATGAGCCAGGAGTAACCCCTGAGCATCGCCAGGTGTGATCCAAAAAGAAAAAAAAAAGAATGGAGGGGCTATGGATGGGCTGGAACAATAGCACAGCTGGTAAGGCGTTTGCCTTGAATGCAGCGGACTCAAGTTCGATTCCCAGCATCCCATATGGTCCCCCGAGCACCGCCAGGAGTAATTCCTGAGTGCAGGAGCATTGGTAACCCCTGAACATTGCCGGGTGTGACCCAAAATGCAAAAAAATTTAAAAAAGACTGGAGGGGCTGGAGCGATAGCACAGCGGGGAGGGCATTTGTCTTGCACGCAGCCAACCTGGGGTTCGATTCCCAGCATCCCATAGGGTCCCCTGAGCTACTGCCAGGAGTAATTCCTGAGTGCATGAGCCAGGAGTAACCCCTGTATATCGCCGGGTGAGACCCAAAAAGCCAAAAAAAATAAAAATAAAAAAAATAAATAAATTCTTGGGGGCTGGAGCGATAGCACAGCGGGTAGGGCGTTTGCCTGGCACCCGGCCGACCCGGGTTCGATTCCCAGCATCCCATAGGGTCCCCTGAGCACCGCCAGGAGTAACTCCTGAGTGCAGAGCCAGGAGTAACCCCTGAGCATTGCCGGGTGTGACCCAAAAAGCAAAAAAAAAAAAAAATGGGGGGAAAAATGTGTCAGTCCCTGGGGCGGGGGGTTCCGGTGGGGGTGTTGGGTGGGTGGGGCGGGGGGTCACTGACTGTTCTCTGAGTTTCTAACAAACCAAATCTCAGCACCAAGCACGAAACGAGAACCAGAGCCCAGCTCCGGGGCGTATCCCCCGTTACCTTTCTGACAGTGGTTGTGTGTCCAACAGCGCTCCACGAACTGCCCATTGATGACTGTGGCCGGGCAGTTGGTCTTGCCCTTGGCCGTGCCGGGGCAGATGTCCCCGCACTCCTCGTTATCGTCCTTGTTCTTCACGATATAGTTGTCCTCCACGGAGTCCAAGATGCGCGACCAGTCGATCGTGAGCAGGTAGCAGAGTTCGTTGTTCTTCTCGATGCGCACGGCACCGCGCGTGATGTTCATGAGGCTGTAAAGACCCAGCTCCTTGAGGTGGACCATCTCGAAGACCACCAGCGCGTAGTTGAAGAAGAGCCGGGAGCCCCGGATGACCGTCAGGTTGGGGAACAGGTCCCCGGAGGCTCTCCAGCCCGTAGACCCGGAAGAGCAGCAGGTAGTCCGTGATCATCACCAGTTTGGGGAAACTGAGGTCCCGGAAGTCCTCGGGGCGGGTCTTGAACATCAGCAGGATCTGGAGGTGGCCCTTCGATGACCGAGCAGTTGGCCAGGTCCTGGAGCGCGTCAGGTTGTTCCGGATGTCCATGCTGGGGCAGACTGGGGGCAAAGCAAAACAGAGAAGGCGGATGAGCCAACGCACCAGAAACGCCGAGGGGGTGGGAATGGGGGCAGGGGGTGGTGGGGGGGGAGAGCCAGGAGTGAGAATTTTGAGTTGGGGGGGGCAGCGGGGAGGGAGCCAGTCTTGTACACAGCTGACCCAGGTTCAGTCCCCCAGCATCCGCTAGAGTCCCCTGAGCCCCGCCAGGAGTGACTCCTGAGCACAGAGCTGGGAGTCAGCCCTGCGCACAGGTGGGTGTGGCCCAGACACCCCCATACCCCCTTAAAAAAAAATAAATAACTGAAAGCAGGACGAGCTTCATGGCCTGGGCTCGGCACTCGGCGGCGTGCCCCTCTCCTGAGTCCCTCACCCCTTTTGCACAAACACCTCCTCCTCTTAGCCACAGTACGGCGGGGGAGGGCATTTTGCCTTGCCTGCGGCCGACCCCGGGTTTCGATTCCCAGCCTCCCATAGGGTCCCCCCCACCCCCGAGCACCTCCAGGAGTAATCTCTGAGGGCAGAGCCAGGAGGAACCCTGGGCATCGCCGAGTGTGACCCAAAAAGCCAAAAAAAAATAAATAAACTCCTCCTCCCCTCCCCCCCTTCCTGCCCTCCTGCCCGTCGTGGGACTCTGTAAATTCTTTTTTTTTTTCTTTGCTTTTTGGGTCACACCCTCCGATGCTCAGGGGTTACTCCTGGCTCATGAACTCAGGAATCACTCCTGGCGGTGCTCGGGGGACCCTATGGGATGCTGGGAATCGAACCCGGGTCGGCCGCGTGCAAGGCAAACGCCCTCCCCGCTGTGCTATTGCTCCAGCCCCAAGGACTCTGTAAATTCTAAGGGCCGCAGCTTGAGGGCTCGCCCAGCAAGGAAAGGACATCCCTGCGGCCACACCCTCAGGTCCTCCTGTGACATATGACGAAACACAGGAGAAGGGAGTGTGTGCGCACACGTGTGCCTCTGTGTGGGGGACGGTGGATTGAGTTACGTGGCAGGTGCAGAAGGTGGAAAGGGAAACCATTGCCCCAAAGAGGAACAGCAGGAAATGGATGTGTGTGTGTTGTGTGTGTGTGTGTAGGGGGGGGGGAGTGATGGTGCCACACTGGATGGGGGCGGGGCAGGCTGCAGCCCTCCTTCCTTCTAGATGGGCCTCCAAGGGCACTGATTTACCTCGCACACAGCCAAACCCAGGCCATCCCATAGGGCCCCTCAAACACTGCCAGGAGTGATTCCTGAGGGCAGAGCCAGGAGTAACCCCTGAGCATCGCCGGGTGTGACACACACACACACACAAAAAGAGAGAGATGGGGAACCAAGCTCGCATCACCTTTTGCCTAGGTGTGGTAAGGGAGTGCCAAGGGTCCGGACGCACACCCCCATGCCCACATGTCCGCCCTCTCCGGGGCTAGCCCCTTCAGGCTCTGACCCTCTCTGGCTCCTTTGGCTCTGGTCTTCCATCTGGGCTCAGCTTTCCCTTGCAAACTTTCCCTGCCCCTATAACAGGCGTGTCCAGCACTCTGGAGCAGCCCAAGACTTCCCAGGGGGGACGCAGAAGTGAAGTCAGTGAAATCAGAAATGGCTGGTTCCCGAGCAGAGTGTGTGCTTAATTAATGCCCGTAGGAGGTGCTCACTTAATGCCCGTAGTAGGGGGTTCCGTTAGTGCCCATCATAGGCATTCGATTAGTACCTGTAGTAGGTATTTCAGTTAATGCCCACAGTAGGCGCTCAGTTAATGCCCATAGTAGGCGGTTCCGTTAGTGCCCCATCATAGGCATTCGATTAGTACCTGTAGTAGGTATTTCAGTTAATGCCCATAGTAGGCGCTCAGTTAATGCCCATAGTAGGCGGTTCCGTTAGTGCCCATCATAGGCATTCGATTAGTACCTGTAGTAGGTATTTCAGTTAATGCCCACAGTAGGCGCTCAGTTAATGCCCATAGTAGGGCGGTTCCGGTAGTGCCCATCATAGGCATTCGATTAGTACCTGTAGTAGGTATTTCAGTTAATGCCCACAGTAGGCGCTCAGTAATGCCCATAGTAGGTGGTTCCGTTAGTGCCCATCATAGGCATTCGATTAGTACCTGTAGTAGGTATTTCAGTTAATGCCCACAGTAGGCACTCAGTTAATGCCCATAGTAGGCGGTTCCGTTAGTGCCCATCATAGGCATTCGATTAGTACCTGTAGTAGGTATTTCAGTTAATGCCCACAGTAGGCGCTCAGTTAATGCCCATAGTAGGCGGTTCCGTTAGTGCCCATCATAGGCATTCGATTAGTAACCTGTAGTAGGTATTTCAGTTAATGCCCACAGTAGGCGCTCAGTTAATGCCCCATAGTAGGCGGTTCCGTTAGTGCCCATCATAGGCATTCGATTAGTACCTGTAGTAGGTATTTCAGTTAATGCCCATAGTAGGCGCTCAGTTAATGCCCATAGTAGGCGGTTCCGTTAGTGCCCATCATAGGCATTCGATTAGTACCTGTAGTAGGTATTTCAGTTAATGCCCACAGTAGGCGCTCAGTTAATGCCCATAGTAGGTGGTTCCGTTAGTGCCCATCATAGGCATTCGATTAGTACCTGTAGTAGGTATTTCAGTTAATGCCCATAGTAGGCGCTCAGTTAATGCCCATAGTAGGCGGTTCCGTTAGTGCCCATCATAGGCATTTGATTAGTACCTGTAGTAGGTATTTCAGTTAATGCCCACAGTAGGCGCTCAGTTAATGCCCATAGTAGGCGGTTCCGTTAGTACCCATCATAGGCATTCGATTAGTACCTGTAGTAGGTATTTTCAGTTAATGCCCATAGTAGGGACTCAGTTAATGCCCATAGTAGGCGGTTCCGTTAGTGCCCATCATAGGCATTCGATTAGTACCTGTAGTAGGTATTTCAGTTAATGCCCACAGTAGGCACTCAGTTAATGCCCATAGTAGATGGTTCCGTTAGTGCCCATCATAGGCATTCGATTAGTACCTGTAGTAGGTATTTCAGTTAATGCCCATAGTAGGCGCTCAGTTAATGCCCATAGTAGGTGGTTCCGTTAGTGCCCATCATAGGCATTCGATTAGTACCTGTAGTAGGTATTTCAGTTAATGCCCACAGTAGGCGCTCAGTTAATGCCCATAGTAGGGACTCAGTTAATGTCCATAGTAGGTGCTCAATTAGTTCCAGCTGGCTTGGCTGTGGTGATTTCTCTGCCCCAAACAACTGACAGGCAGCTCCAGGCTCCACGCCTTCATTCCCTCCCAGACTGAGACAGGACTGGAGCTCAGTGGTAGAGCACTTGCCTTGCAAGAGTGTGATTCTGGATTTGTGCCCTGACACCAAATACACACACACACAGAGAGAGAACAATATAATTATCCGCTTAATATGTCAGGCATGGATATGCAGTTCCTATGAAAGCTCAGAGACAAAGGATTTCATGTTCTATAAAATCGTCATCAGTCAGAGCCATAGCACAGCAAGAAGGGCCTTGCAGGTGGCCAGTCCCAGTTCAATCCCCGGCATCCCAAAGCACCGCCAGGAATCATTCCTGAGTGCAGAGCCAGGAGTAAGACCCGAGCCCCCAGAACAAGCAAATGAAGAACCAAAAGTCTCACCACGGCCAAGCCCCAGAGCAGAGCACAGAGGCAGGAGTCAGCCCTGCGCACAGCCAGGTGTGACCCAGAAACTGGTCACAAAAACCACAGGGCTCAGAATCCCACAGCCAGTACCAACGTCCAACCTGGTACGAGGCAGGCCCGTATCGGGGCTCACTCTCTGGAACACGAAAACCCAGGAGAGCTGCTGCACCCCAGCCCTGCGCTTGGCCAAGAGGCATTTCCCAAGAGCGCATCTGCCTAGTGGACACACAGATTCAGCTCCCGGTTGGTTCCCACCAGCCAGCTGGCCAGGGAGCTTCCACCCGTGTCTGGAAGGGAATGAAGTCGTGGAGTCTGGAGCTGCCTGTCAATTGTTTGGGGGAGAGAAATCACCACAGCCAAGCAGCTGGCACTAACTGAGCACCTACTATGGGCATTAACTGAGCACCTACTATGGGCATTAACTAAATGCTTACTATGGGCATTAACTGAGTGCCTACTATGGGCATTAACTGAGTGCCTACTATGGGCATTAACCAAGTGCTTACTATGGGCATTAACTGAGCACCTACTATGGGCATTAACTAAATGCTTACTATGGGCATTAACTGAGTGCCTACTATGGGCATTAACTGAGTGCCTACTATGGGCATTAACCAAGTGCTTACTATGGGCATTAACTGAGCACCTACTATGGGCATTAACTAAATGCTTACTATGGGCATTAACTGAGTGCCTACTATGGGCATTAATTGAGTGCCTACTATGGGCATTAACCAAGTGCTTACTATGGGCATTAACTGAGCACCTACTATGGGCACTAACTCTCTTCTGTGGACAGAGAAGCCCACCGACCACCCCATGGAAACCACCAACCTCCTTTCACGTTGTCCAGCACAGCCAGTTAGCAAGGGAGCGCCCCCCCCCAAAACCCGATATCCTGCCCTGCCAGCCCCTGGCTTTCTCTGAAACCCACCCAGCTCCGCCCAGCTGAGCACAACAAGGGTCCTATACAGGGATGCACACGCCAGCGTCTCCAGGTCCCTGGGAGGTCCAAAGCCTGGTCACCGGCCAGGGCGGCGTGTGATCAGTGCCACAGCTGGAGCGAACACCTGTGGCTGAGAATTCCTTGGACGCCAGCCAAGGCACAGACGGAGCGCCCGGCCAAATGAGGAGAAGGAGGAGCGCGCCCACACCCGCGGGTGGAGACAGCCGCCTGAGGAAGAGCTCGGAGAAGGGGCTGAGCAGGAGGACAGCAGGGAGGGCTCTCGCCTTGCGCGTGGTCGACCTGGGTTCGGTCCCCGGCCTCCCATAGGGGTCCCCTGAGCACTGCCAAGAGTGATCCCTGGAATGCAGAGCCTGAGCACTGCCGGCATGCGCCCGCCCACTGCCCCCGAACACACACATATACAAAAAAAAAAC